GCTACAGAAATTATGTTCCCAAAAAAAAAAAAAAAAAAAAAAAAAGAATTTATGGCATTATTTATCATTAGGTGGCAGAAAATTATTGCAACAATTTAACAAGAGAATTAAATCATCCAGGAAAGGGAACAACAATCACGTGTACTGTTACGTTGCAATCGTCGTTCTATCAACAACGATCACGTGAACTGTTACGTTACGACTACCGTTCTATCAATAACGACTACGTGGGATTGCTATACTATAAGCGTTATTTAATTTGCTGTTAGACTCGAAATATCTCACAAATAATATCTCTAAATATTCAATAATATGCAACATTAAATTTATATGAAACCGGAAAGAGATTATAGGATGCGAATGATTGTTAGGTTAAATTATTCATTGCAATATAATAAGCATATCCACGTGGGTGCACGTGTATACGTGTGTGGATAGGCACGTATTCCGGACGTAACACAAGAATTCATTAATGAAATGAAATTATTAAAAACGAAAAAACAATGGAAATAGCATTTCAAGTTGATCATAACATTCTTTCTTTCAAGTAAAACATGTTGAATATTTCCCCAATGTTAACTATGAGTAGTAAGCAAATTTTAGAAATGCTAAAAACAGAATGTAATTTAAGAAAAAAAAAAAAAGTAATAACAGTAACTATGGTCGTTATGAAAAAACAAAAATGCATAAAATCGATAAATAATAGAAATATTTTCTATTCAAATAAATTATCCTAATTATTATTTAGATAATTACAAATAATTATCCTAATTATTATTTAAAATTATCGGAAATCAAAATTTTATAAAAGAATTACTACAACAATGAAATTAGCAGAATGTAAACAATAAACAATTAAGAGAATGTATCAAAACAAATAAACAATACGAGCAAATCTTTGCGACACAAATTTTACAATCATTTATCAAAAAATTCATCTCAATAAACTATATTACTATGAAAGTAATAGTAATAAGAAAATACCATCATACCGGAATATTTCTCTTATCTCCGGTATTTCCTAGGAATAACTACACAACGAATTCCCGGTAAATATTCCCGACATATGGGATATATTCCATTTCTCTTAACCATCTCACATCCTCTTTCTCATATTATTAGTAATCTATCAACATCACAATCACTAATTATTTCCATCTTTAATCTCCCCTCGTATTACATCTTCCCTTGCCTTATGTAAATAATTTTCAACCAATCCCTCCAAGCATCTCATGCATATACATTCGCACTCATTTCAATCCCTATTTCTCCGTTAAACCATCTGATCTTTTTTTCCTTTCATTTTCTGCCTATAGTATTTTACATCTTAGCAATCTTTGACATCTCCTCAGAATAACACTCTCTTTTATTAAAAGCGAAATCATTCCAGCAATTAGCGAATGGATCTTAATTCAGATTTATTATGGTCCGTTGAAAGTTGAACGTCGTGCTTATGGGTTTCGAATTTTCACTCAATGATATGATATTTATGTTTTGTGGTTGGACCGATAATGGATACTAGTGGTATGATCAATTCGGTTTATTTAACCGATGAATATCTTGCCGAATTCCGGAAGACTATGTCCGGTTTGTTTTTCTGTCAGCTAAGTATCTTAGCTATTATCCGTTTCTTTTTTTCATTCTTTAAAATTCGACAAGTGCATATCAGAAATCGAGATTTGCTCTTTTCGATTTTTATTGGTAGTGTATTTGTACCATACTGCATGGAAAGTCAGTGATAAATTCTTTATGTGATGCAATGTTTGTCAAACGATGAACTGGAAAAAATGTTCCTGTTTCAGTCCCTGCTTTTCGGTTTTCTAAAAGCTTTTGTTCAAAAGTCCTGAAAATTCTAATATTTCTTCAAGAAATTGTTTTAAAAGCAAATAGCATTTGGCCTAATTGGATCCCATAGAATTTTAAGTTCAAGTCCATGATCGTTTTGACGGAAGCCTAAAGATTTTTAGATTTGAGTTCCGGATCTTTCTAATAGGAGCTTGCAGGATTTTTGGAAATCTCTAATCTTTTTTCCAAAGAGTGTGTAAAATTTTTAGATATAATAAAAATTCTCGTTATATAGGATATAATACCAAAAGTTATGCTGCTCATTCACGTTGAAATATTATTTCACTTTCAGTTATGTTTCTGTCCCACACCGTACCTAAAACTCCATTTGAACAAATGAATCATGATTAGCTGGCAAAATCCCTCCATTACTGCAATAAAAAACGAGAATTACAGAAACACTTGTCCGATATTGAGGGTTGAGTAAAATCTTTTCCCAACATAAGTGTTAATTCTGCATTTCACTGTCCGAGATGAAACTTCTCGTTTTTCTTTTTTTGCAGGTGAAGGCCAATTTTCGAAGCCTTTTCCACACTTTTATCTTCCTGACTTTCTGAGCAGTAAGGAGTTTGTAACCGATCTACGGTCAGAATTGAAAACCGTGCAATATGATCGTAAAGAAAATGATCTTTATTCATTGGACCAAACAGTTGATTTATCAAACTTCGATGCTAGCAAATTCCCAACGTTGACAAAATTCAGGCAAGGATTTGTTTACTTCTAATATTGTGTTTAAAGTGCAGAAGGCTTTTAGAAGAATTCCATACGAAAGAAATATTAACAATTGGGCAAAAAAGTTTGAAAACTTATAAAGAAGGGAAGGAATTTTGCAATCTATCCTAGGTTAATATTGAACTTTTCTGGCAAATTTAGAAAATTAACTAAGCAGCATCAATACTACTATTACTTGGTATGATTTTATGGTGAGCATCACCTTAAATGGATGTTTTCTTAAAAGACATACATGTCAGTTTCATTTCATTTAATCTACTAATCAATAGTTCTGGGAAATTCAGTTCCCCAAAATAATTCCAATTTTAGTGTGCTTACTTTTTTAGGAATTTATTTAAGACCGATGTTCTACATTGGCTGCGTAATGCGTCCGGTGTTAATCTAAACCCTGAAGTGGCAATAACTAGTAGTAATTATAATTATACCGATTTACTCCTACCACATGATGATCAATGTGAGGGACGGAAATTTGCTTTTACACTTTACTTGACACCAGATTGGAAGGAAACTGATGGCGGACAATTGTTATTGTATGACTGTGACGGTAAAATGATTGTTTTATTGAAATTTCTGATTTTATGCCCTCAAATTGAATCAGCATATCACCCTTGAACATCAAAACTCGTGCACTATTCTCCTTAGTTCGTCATATTATTGAAATTTCTGATTTTATGCCCTCAAATTGAATTAGCATATCACCCTTGAACATCAAAACTATTTAATCAGTCAGTGCTTCCTTATTAACTTTAAAAATTTGCTAATTGCTTACCTTACATTGACTGTTTTCACTACATGTGCACTATTCTCCTTAGTTCGTCATATTATTTTAGTCAGATTACTTTGATATTTAGCAGAAAAAATTTGTTGTAGTATCCAAATAGAAGGAGAATCAAGGTATCGCTTATAGAGCTTATTTCCAAGTATTAGAAGTTTTATGCTTCATACTAATTCGACCTTGGATGGGAAAATTTAACGAAGCAGCTTGATATTAATATTAAATTTATCTCACGTTAAAGATGTATCACATTTTAACTCATCAAATCAAATGTCAAACATTCTGATAATACCTAATGGTATTATCAAAGTGCACTTGTCAAACATGTCATATTTTAGATAATAATGATCCTATATCGATTGCCAAAATTACGAATCCAATGGAAAATATGCTAGTGATGTTCGAAGTATCACCACGATCATGGCATATGGTCACTGAGGTATATTTTTGCTATATTCATTTAAATAGAGTTACTTTAATTTCATTTTGGCTATCACTTCATGTTTCCTTACTTAGTCTTGCTCTGTTTTGATTTGCTTTTACTTTCTTTTATCTGATTTATTCTTTTCGCTCTTCATTTTTCTTTATTCCAATTTGTTCCATTGCTTTTTAATTTATTTTGCAACACTTTATTTCATTATTCTTTTTCTACCATCCTTTACATTTCTTGTTTTACTTATTTTACACCATTAGTTTTTAATATTGAAATTTTTATTCCATAAATTTAGGTACTTTCGCAGAGAGGACGCCTCTCATTACACGGTTGGTTTCATCATACTGGATATAATGTTTCTGATAAAGTAAAGTTGTCAACTCCTGAAGGAAAACTAAAACCACATATGAATATTACTGTGAGTTATTAATGATCTCATACAAATGAAGTTCTTCATTTCTTTTTTTCAAATTCAAAAAAGTCGTTTAGGATGTCCAAGAATTACTGATTAAACAAGTCATTCAGTTCATTCAGAGTTATTTCACTGCTTTACTCCCTGTTATTTTAGTGAAACAACTATACTGAAAAAGTTGAACTGGATGATTTGTTCCGTCATAGTTGCTCAATCAGTAATCTCTGGAACATTCTGAATGACTCCTTTTTATAGATAAAACTTGCTTTATACTAGAAAACCTCTCTTACAACGTATGTTACGACGTTGGCTTCTAGAATGTAAAATTTATTCTGGATTATTGGTAGATTTGGTAGGTTTTGTAGTCCAAATATGTAAAAAAGAAGCTGGTGAAGATAAACAGAGGAAATAAAGGTATATTTTGGTCAGCAAAGTCATTGCATAAATTTCTATGCAATGTATTTTGAAACCAAAAATGTTTAAATCATTCAGAAATAAAATAATTGTAGTATGAGGAAGTGCTAGAGTGGATTAATCCTGAATATATCGATCCCTTGCAACAATCGAAAATTCAGTCGATTTTCGAAGAGAATTCTGAAATCAGTTTGTTTCATTTCATCCGCGTGAGTGTTTTTCTACTGATATTCACTCATTGTGATGTGTATCTGTAAATGAAATAGTTTAAAAAGTTTTCATAATGGGACAGCAAGTTTTCAAGCACAATTTTTTATGAGTGTTGCAGGATTTCAGTTCATTTGACCCTATGTTTTGTCTGTTTGATAATTCTTGAGAAATCCTGGTGAAAAAAAAGCACAACTTGTAAGAAATGCTAAGCAATTAATGTTTTCTTTAAAAAAAATGCATTACTTGTAGGAGGGTGAAGTCGTGACCGTTACCGATTTTGATGTAAATTTTTGCATTTGCACGAAAGAAATTAACTTTTATGATTAAAAGTAAAAGTTTTATGATTAAAATCAAAATTTTGCGGTGGTTTCTTTTTGAGGTTTGAACAGATATTGCAATTATAATAATATAGTAGGAGAAGTAATATTCACAAATTGTTTTTCAAGTTTTTCTGCGATGATTTCTGATTACAAAGTTAACGGGGCAAATTTTGGGAACAGTTGTCTCTGTTGAACTGTTTCTTATTGCTCATCAATCATTCAGTATTTAGGAGAATAAATTTGAATCAGCTCTGCACGAATTAGATAGCGCATGTTTCGAAGATGTTGGACCCCTTAATAAAAGGTATTTAATTTTTGCTGTTATGATTAGCAGTGACAAATTCTTATTATTTAATTTTCTCTAAACTTTGTTTTTCCAAATTTTGTAATATCAAGCTTTTTTTCTTTCAGAACTTAAACTTTTTTCTTATAGGAAAATGGAACGCTTACGAGAATATGCTTTGCCATTAGATAGCAGTTTACTCTCTCTTTTACGTTTAGTGCGATCCCAGGCAATGGCATTACTCCTCTCACAGTGGACTGGTCTACCTTTACATTCTGTTGATGATTGCGACAGTGAACCAGGCTTGTTAATTATTAGTAAAACACTGGTATGATTATGTGTGCTAAACCATCCTGTTCCAGTTTTGATCCAACAGCGCTTTTTCAGATATCAAGAAGAAAAAGGTTGATGGAAACGAACGCGAGAGTGTTACATTTCATGATGGTAGGAGTTTCTGCTGTACATTTAGAAGTGCTTTTTTTCTTAAAAAATCATTTCAGATGTGCTTTTTTCAGCTTCCACCTAGAACTTTTAAGGTATCGAGTGTTGTTCCTCAGTATATCGAATTGGAAAAGGTTCTTATACAATGGTCGATGATGAGATTGTTGGTGAAACAGAGCAGCTCGGTTGTTGTTTAGATTTTAATGTAACTTTTTTGTTGAAAAACCCATGTTGTTTCTTCGTTTAGCTTTTTTTTTGGTTCCCATCCATAATGGTCAAATAAAGGAAAGGAGGTCATGTACCACTGGTTAGAAGTCAAAGATCAGTAGTTATTCCTTCGTATAAAATAAAGCATGGAAATTTTCAGCTATTTTTATTTGCGAATGAATGGGATGATGACCATGGAGGATTCATAAGCTATTTCACCAAGAATGAAGAAGAAGAGGTTTGTTTTTGGAATATTGCTTGTTTCAGTTATAATTTCCACTTCATTATATGTCACTTCGAACTCGTGACGTATATTTTCACCTCCACCACAGGTGTCGTGCTAATGACATAGTTAAGAGCTAGATGCGGTGTTACGTGGAAGACCTATGCTGTTAATTGTCAAGCCATTCCATTTAATTAAATTATGTACTAACATATGTCATCTAATATTGTGTTTTTATTCTAGGTTCTACGGGTATCTCCAGTACGGAATAGCGTTGCTTTGGTATTTCGTGAACCTGGGGTATATCCATTCATAAAATATGTGAATTGTAAAGCAGGAGACAGACATTATTATGTGATTAGCTCTTCTTTTTACGGTTTTAAATTGGATGGTTGTTCTACTGGGAATAGCGAAGAGAGTCTGGAAAGTGATCATGAAGCGGAAGAAGGTGATGGAGCTGGACCCAGTTGTGTTTGATTTGAATCTGCTTGAAAATTTTGATTTGAATTTTAATTTGTACGGGTGAAATAAAGTCTTTCTTGTTTGACCTAATCAGCGGGATAATTAAAATAAATATTTGATGTGGATAAATTCGTTTCTCAGTTATTGCTTAGCTGTATGCAAAATACACATGGGCTACTAATAAACGATATTATTGCATTAACAGCAATTCGATCCGTGGAATCATACTTAAGTCACTCAAATAAATCATGCAAACAAATGTGTTTTCCTCGTTTTGTTATATTTAAGTATTTTGATGTTGAATTATTATGTTCATAAAGCATTTTGAATAAATTTATTGATTTAAAAATGTGACAACTATAACAGTTGAAGTTTTTTCAAAGATTTTTAAACTTTTTAGACTTTCATTTCCAGAAACTATAAGAAGCGAAAATGCCCATTCTTTGTTAAGGTTAAATTCGGTAAATGAAGGTGTAGAAGAATTTCATAAATGTTGTGGTCCGACACAAAGGCATGTTTTACGACACCAAAGAAATCGTGTGGCATTATTTGAAAGACAATATCCTGCATTTGCCCAATTGCTACAATTAGTTACATTAAGTTCGTCTTTTTCGATACTGCAATCCATATGGAATGGTTTCCCTGAAAAAAAAGATTTTTGAAAAATCGATTCTTCCTACAGTTCTTTTTTTTTTTTTTAATTTGAAATCATAAAATGATAATCATAATCCACTTATTGAATTCATCTTTTCTAACCTTTATTTCCTATTTTCAATTATTTAATTTCCGTTGTATGTTTTAGATCACTTGATCATTTTATACTATTCTAAATCATTTAATCCTATAATGCAGTTTGTTTAATTTTTATTTTATAATTCAAATTACTTAATCTCTATTCTATATCACAGATTATCTCTTTACAATATTTCAGATTATTTAAGTCTCATTTCATACCTAAAACTTTCACCATATACTTTTGTGGTATTTTATGTGATCGAATACAATCCAAACCTGCATGATCTTTGAAAATGTATGCAAATTAAATTTCCTCATCTATACATTCATATCAATAAATCATCCCTTTTTAAAAATACCAAACTAATTCTTATCCTATCAAAAATTCCTCTTTTCTTCCATCCAAAATTGTTTATATTTATTTTATTCTTAAAAAAAAAAAAAAAGAAAATCAAAAATCAAAAATATCTTGTCCTAATCAAATTAAATGGCAATACATGATAAAATGATATTACATTTAATTCCTAATTACAGTATACCTTATATTAAAACAAATGACTTATATTTAAGTGATAATTAATTGATCAAAGTGGATAAACTTACAAAATGATTGTTTATTGGGCTTCAAAAAATTCATTTTATAATTTCTCACTATTGTTTTTCTTGTTGAATCTGAAAATTTTTTTTTTTTTTATTTAGAATGCTACATTATTCGTAATTTAAATTTCACAAAAATTTTATTTGAAATATTTTTTATTTCAAAGAATAATATCAATATTATAATTTTTGTAAGTTTAAATCAATCAATTTATAAATGATTTGTCATTTTGTCATTTCTTTTCATTTATCTTAAACAGCATATATTTTCTTTTTTTTTTTTTTTTTTGCAATTAATAAGATAAT